ATGTCCCGTTTTTCCCGGGAGTCACAATTCGTTGTCGATTAACTTCAAGTTAGTGAAGGTGGGATAGGCGGAATCGCGCTGATAGAAGTGCTCTCTCTCGCGCACGCTCCTCTTCTTCAGTTCTCATATACAGCTCGTGATCAGTTCTCAGTGCTCAAATACACACACAGCAGTCCAAATGTCTATCGAGTAGAGCAGTGGTTTTCAACCTGTGGGCCGACGGTATTGCAGGGGGGCCGCCAATTACTATTAAAATAAATAATAATATTGTTAATATATGTAAAAATGTATGTAAAAAAAGTCATAACATAATATCTTAATTTCATATATATAATTAAATAAAAAATAAATATTAAACTGTTACTTTGCTTCCACTATTCGAGCTCGCTGATTGGTTTAAGAATAAACCGCCAATTCTAAAATATTTTTGCTGCATATGCTACAGAACAACAGATTCAAACATGGATAAATGGCTGTCAACAGGGTCGCTGAAAAGAACAAATGCAGATGTTTCTCCATCTACAAGTAAGCCTGACACTGAAAAGACTCTAAATAAATCTAAAAGAAAATACAGTAGTGACTATCTAGCGCGAGGCTTCACATGTGTGGGAGCGGAGAACAAGCAGCTACCGCTCTGCGTTGTTTGCTCAGAAGTCTTATCAAATGAAGCTTTGAAACCGAGCAAACTACGACGGCACTTGGAGACTAAACACAGTGAATATGTGTCCAAGCCTATTGAGTTTTTTGAGAACTCTCAAAGTCTACATTCAAAGGTCCAAATCTGAATTTTCATCAGTGTCAAAGGTCCGGACCAGAACAATTGGTTATTACAAAACTAGTTTTTAATAAACATACATAACATGCATAAAAAATAAACATTAATTTTTTTTTTAAATAAAGTGCAAAAGTGGCAAAACAATTAATTTAAGTGTCAGAAATAGAGGTCGACCGATAAGGGTTTTTCTCTGGCCGATGCAAATTTGACCGATTTTTTTTCCCTTTATCTCATACAAGCGAATTTGAGTAAATGATTATGGCAGGGCACAAGATGGTAATAGTAGTAGTAGTAGCCTAATTCATAGTAATAATACATGGCTCAAAGCACCTTCTCAAAACAGTTCTGAAGCATGCTTTTTGTTTATGTTTGCTGACAGACACCAGTGTTTCCCACAGACTTGCAAATGCAAATTCATTCTCTGCCAGCAGGAGGCGCTGTTGGAGCGGAGTTAAAGCGGTTTCCCCGGTAACGGCTGTAATCAAATACAAAACGCTAGGAAAGACGAAATGAAAATGACATCAAAGCTTTTCTGAAGAAGGTCGGTTCTTTTCAATTATACATTCATATACACCCGCGCTGCATTTTAATTTTGAAATGTGCAGTGCTCAGTTTATTCAACGAAGTAGAATCCTTTTGGAAAATCGATTTGTGGCGGTCAGTTTTGATTTTGTGACGGGCCGCCACAAATAATTCAATGTATGGGAAACACTGGACACTGCTATAAGTCAAATGGCCATAATCTAAGTGATAACAAAAATAAAAGAGTTCACACATATTACACAGCCTGCTGCTCATAACTGCTTAACGGCAGAGTGAGGGATTTCTGGTAGCCAATGTTTATATTTGAAATCACCAAAACAAACACGCCCCTAC